AGTGGTCAGTGCTAGTCGCGTCCGCAAATTGTGCGCGGGTGACAAAAGTACCTACTCGAAGCATAAAGTTACCTGTATTTTTCCAACCAGCTGCAAATCCTACAGGTATTTTTGTCATCAATTTAAGAATTGTAATTCTTGCCCTGGCCGGCTTGGCTCAGTGGATAGAGCATCAGCCTGCAGACCGATGGGTCCCAGGTTCGATTCCGGCCAAGGGTTGCGGGCTCGATCCCCAGTAGTGGGTGTGCAGGAGGCGGCTGATCGGCTGATCAGTGATTCTCTCTCATCATTGATGTTTCTATCTCTCTCTCCTTCTCCCTTCCTCTCTGAAATCAATAAAGAAATATATTTTTTAAAAAAAGAATTGTAATTCTTTTGTGTTGGTGGCTTTATTATTATAAAATGAAACATTTTTTTAGGTGCCCTGTTTAAGATGGCTACAAAGAAGCAAAGAAAAACGGAAGATGAAAACCATGAATTTAAAGTTGAATTTTTTTAAAATATATTTTATTGATTTTTTACAGAGAGGAAGGGAGAGAGATAGAGAGTCAGAAACATCGATCAGCTGCCTCCTGCACATCTCCCACTGGGGATGCGCCCGCAACCCAGGTACATGCCCTTGACCGGAATCGAACCTGGGACCCTTTAGTCCGCAGGCCGACGCTCTATCCACTGAGCCAAACCGGTTTTGGCTTAAAGTTGAATTTAAAGTTGAATGTACCTACCTATATAGTTTAAGTTTAAAAAATTTGGCTCTCAAAGGAAATTTCAATTGTTGTACTGTTGATATCTGGCTCTGTTGACTAATGAGTTTGCCAACCACTGTTCTAGACACTTGAGAACATATTTAATAAGGAACATGTTTTTTAATTATACTCCCCACTTCACAGACAACTTACATATTTCATTGCATTATTTTTATTACTTGAATATAATTAACTATATTAGACCTGAATCTTTTTACACTTCCTTGTCTACTTTCAACAATAATCCTAAAATATGCTTTCCATAATTTATCAGTAGTTTTCATAATATTCCTCAAATAATATATATGCATTTATTTGAACAGAAAATAGAGTCAGATTTTCTTTTGACTATAAGGAAACTAATTTTTCTTTTTGGTTTGACAACAAGGACTGATTTTACCAAAAAGTAAACATGCTGAAAATTGTATGAATTAATCTTCAGCTCCAAGATTTTGATTAAAATATATTTTAAGTATGTGACAAAAGCTCTTTATTTTAAAAAAAAGATTGTTTTGGAAAACATTTATTGAAACTAATGTTCCCATTTTCTAAGTTTTTTTTTTTTAATCCTTACCCAAGAATATTTTTCCATTGATTTTTTAAAATTTTTTAAAATATATTTTTATTGATTTTTTACAGAGAGGAAGGGGGAGGGATAGAGAGCTAGAAACATCGATGAGAGAGAAACATCGATCAGCTGCCTCCTGCACACCTCCCACTGGGGATGTGCCCACAACCAAGGTACATGCCCTTGATCAGAACTGAACCTGAGACCCTTCAGTCTGAAGGCCGACGCTCTATCCACTGAGCCAAATTGGTTAGGGCTTTTTTTTTTTCTTTTAGAGATAGTGAAGAGTAGGAGGAGGGGGACAGAGAAAGAGAGAGAAACATCGATGTGAGAGAGACACATTGATTGGTTGTTTCCCACATGCACCTTGACCAGGGCCAGGGATCAAGCCTGCAACCAAGGTATGAACCCTTGATCAGAAATCAAACCCATTACCCTTCAATCTGAGGGCTGACACTCTAACCACTGAGCAACCAGCCAGGGCTCTACGTCTTTTTGAGTATATAACAGTAAACAGGTTTCCTCTAAGTAAAAGAGTAACGTGTAATTTCTAGTCATTTGTTAAGGCGTGCCTTCTCAGTATACTTCTCAGAAAACGGGAAAGGGAATAACTCAATAACTAGATGACAAATCATCTAATTATTTGCTTTCAATAAAATTGAATGAGTACCACTCATGGTATCAGTCAATCAATGATTGTATATAACTGAGAGTTTAGAGTGTAAACTACACTAAAGATGCCTTCTATTCGTGTCTACTTATGCGAACAATGTTTCTCAACACTAGCATCTACAACTTTAAAAAAAATTTTCAAAGAAGCAGTAAAAAATTAATGCTGAATGCAATCTCACTCCAAAAGTAGTAACACTCAAAACTAGATACATAGCCCTGACTGGTTTGGCTCAGTGGATAGAGCATCGGCCTGCGGACTGAAAGGTCCCAGGTTCGATTCCGGCCAAGGGCATGTACCTTGGTTGCGGGCACATCCCCAGTAGGAGGTGTGCAAGAGGCAGCTGATCGATGTTTCTCTCTCATCGATGTTTCTAACTCTCTATCCCTCTCTCTTCCTCTCTGTGAAAAATCAATAAAATATATTGTTAAAAAAAAAACACAAAAAACTAGATATATAAACTAATTGAAAACAAAATAGCCCCATTTATTTCATTCCCGCGGAGTACGCGCAATTCACGCGAGCCGACTTAACTCGTTTCCCCCGCTCCAAGTGTTAACATTTGTAATGTTACTTTCAGCAAGTGTGTACTAAAAATAATTGTGATGACTCAAAACTTAGGGTCACACATGTTTAAAAATTAATTTCAATTAATATACTAAAATAGTTGCCAGGAAGTATAATGAAGTGATCAATAAATTGATTTTAAACCAAAATATATTACAGCAGGGTAAAATTCTATGGAGGAAGTAGAGTGGGAATAAAAGTTCAAGAAGGAAAATTAATGAAATCATTATCTATGAAAGAAGAGCTTGTTTGTGCATTGTTTAAAAGGATCATATAAAAAAGGGATCATATAGTGCATATCAATTTGCTAAAGTGTTTAGATTACCCCCTGGTTATATTTAAAGAAATGAATTAACAGTTTTAGTTTTTAATGTCAATATTTAGGATGGGCTTGAAGTTTTATCTTTTGTAACTATTTAAGTTTATGATGAAAACTTTTCTTTGAACTTAAACATTTCAGTTTGAGTGAGGCCCACTGACCTAGACTTCATTAGTACCCATTTGTTTTTGGCTTTCATCCCAAGTGCTTTTTCTTCAGACAACTGTTACTGTCTGGGAAGCTGGCAGAATCATTACTGTCAGAAGATAAATCTCCCAGTGAAGGGACATAATGGAAGGGACATAATGGGACTCAGTGGGATAGCCAATAACTCAGAAGTCAAGTCTTGCAGCCCTGAGGAACTTCTTCACTCTAGTCACTGTGCTAGTCCTTTCATTCTGTTCTCAGAACCACCACCAGCCATAACACTGAGCCACAGATGGCTTGCTACTTGCCTGGGTAGCGGTGATAATACAAGTTAGAGCAGAGAGCTGAGGTTAGAATCCATTTCTGCCTGACTCCACAGCCATGGTCTTGCCAATACTCGTCTGACTTCTCAATAATTTGAACTTTTAAGGTGAACAGATCCTCTTTATTGAAAACAATTCACAGAGTAAACACAGGCAAGTCAAGGGTCTCCTTGTTAATTTCCCACCCACCACTGATGCCATGAAAGATGCCAGAGCTTTTCTAGTCCCACTCTCACTCATCCACCACAGAGCTCAGAAAGGCAGCAGTGAAGTTGGAAATTATCCCACTCACAATTCAGGTGGAATTGGAGAAGTTGCCAGCCAACATTGCTTTAGGAAGCAAAAAGTGGAGGAGTGAAGGTAAGAGTAAGGGGTCTGTGGCACTAGTGCTGATAGAAATGCTAACAATTAGTTATTCATCCATTCATTCAGTTGTCATTGCCTGCCCACTATGACTCAGGTAATGGATTCAATTAATTCTCAGTGTTTAGGCAGCACAATTCTATTAGAATACTTATGGCTCTATTGTAAGCCATGACACACAGTAACTTGATGAAGAATCTATGGGTCTGTTTTCCTAGTTTTCTTGCTGGAGTTTTAGAGACTACTTGAAGGGGGACTCATTCTCAGATGCTTGGAGAACTGTGCATGCAGTAGGTCCTACCTGAGTGCACCTTTCATAAGCTCTCTCTGGTTACTCTTGCTATTTGTTTTGAATTGTGAATAGTCCTATATAATAAAAGGCTAATATGCAAATAGATCAAACGGCGGAACAACCGAACAACTGGTCACTATGACGTGCACTGACCACCAGGGGGCGTGCGTGGAACATGGTGGGCATTGGCCCCGGTGGGATGGTGGAACAGGTGAGTGGGGGACACCAGAACAAGATGGGGCGCCAGTCTCTGTTTTCAGGGTGAGCCTCTGGTGGTTACTGAAAATTTTTTGCTCCTGCGTGCTGTGGTCCCTGCCGGCACTCGCGCCTGCTGCCAGCGCTAGCCCCGCTTGCACCCACTGCCCGGTGCCCCCTTGCCAGCCCTGATTGCCCAGCGCCATCAGCGGGTGTGAGCAGTGGCTGCCAGCCCCTATTGCTCCTCAGGGCTTCTCTACCTCCTCCTGCTCCTGAGGAGAGATTGGGGCTGGCAGCCGCCTCTCACACCCGCTGCCAGCAACGGCCCTGCTCGTACCCGCAGCTGGCACTGGAGCCACTACTCGCACCTGCTGCCAGTGCCCAGTGCTGGTCCCGCTTGGTGCCATCAGCGGGTGTGAGCGGTGGCTGCTGGCCTTGATCGCCCCTGAGGGCTTCTCCACCTCCCCCTCCTCTTGAGGGGCGATCAGGGCAGCAGCTGCTGCTCGCACCCACTGATGGCACCAGCCCCACTTGCACCTACTGCTGGCGCCAGCCCCAATGGCTCAGAACCTTCAGCGGGTGTGAGCAGGGCCAGCGCCATCAGCACATGGGAGTGACAGCAGTGGGAGTGGGGCTGCCGACAGACAGCAGGAGGGGCCAGAAGGGGGCGTGGAGGATGGGCCAAGACCCGCCCCTGTGCCTACTCCAGTCTCGTGGCCCACAGTTCCTTTCAAGGTACATGAATTCGTGCACTGGGTCCCTAGTAGAATATAAATGAACAAACTAAAGTGTGACTCAAGTAGGAATTACCAAATTAAAGCAGGTATTGCTCCTGTCTTAGGCGTGAATGCAGTCTTCATCGTGGTAGCATAGGAGTCCCAGTGGGTATTACCTGCTAAAAGTAAAATAAAACACTTTTAAATCGGTCAGACCAATATATATTGATAAAATGTTGTTTTATAATTAAAGCAATTTTGCAAGACAATAACATTTGGATGGTATTTTTAGTCTAAAGGAATAAAAGCCAATTTGTGGCCTCTACTAAGAGACAAAGCTCAATTTAATTATCTGAGTTTTCTCCCTAAATAAAAATAGGTCTATTGTTTTTCTTGAGAATTCATACATGCTTTTTTAAAACCTTTAAGCAATACATAAAAATATAAAGCAGAAAGCTTATTTGAAATTCTACATCTTAAAATGCTCACTATTTCTGATTTACTGACCAACTCTTCATACATCACATTAGACAAAGCTATAAACACGAGAAATGAATATGCACAAAGGGGCTCAGAGTTTGTATTTCAGGTTTCAGTGTGGAACTTTCTCCTCGTTCCTTCTTCTCCCTGCTTATTATCACCTGCCTCCCCATCCCTCCTCCTACGTAGCCCATGTCCGTTTCTTTACAGACTTTTATACCTGCTGATATAATCATATACTGGTTTACATATACATGTATAAATTCATTGATGTAAGAGGTTTTAGTTTTCACCAATGTTTAAAAAAATGGGCTTCTGAAATCTATATAATTAACTAATGTCACCCCAATAAATTCAATAAAAAAGTTTAAAAAGTGGGCTCATATTCCCACAAAGTGTCCTTTTCTGTCATATAACAGTGTAGTGTGGGAAACTCTTCAAACTCGGCCAGTGTAACTCTAATTCATTCTTAATAATGACTGTGCAAGATTCTGTGGTATAGGTGTTTAAAACTCTGAGAGTGGGTGAGATCAACAAGGAAGGAAGCATAATTAGAGGAGATGAAGCCTGGGGCGTGCCAATATCAAGAGGTCGGGAGAGGAGGAGCAGTCAGGAAAGGACACTGAGAAGAGACGTCAGTGAGGTAAGAGGAAAACCAGGAGCGTGTAATGTCCTGAACCCCAAAGGAAGAAAGTATTCACAGGAAGAAGGGGTCACGTATGCAAATGCTGTTGGCTGGATCCAGGAAGATGAGGACTGAGAATTCAGCATTCAGCAGACACTAGCAACAACAGAATTTATATGCCCTACCTGCCCATTGTCAACAAACCACCACCAAATTTCTTGGGAAAATATATTTTAAATTTAATTCAGTCCTTCTCTCATCCTTCATATTTGGCCACTTACCTGTTGCTTTTTACATTTCAGGAGAAACTGGGTTGAAATGTGGCCTTTAATGTTTGAATAAACCACTGTCTGGGGTCTATCACCTCACCTCTAGAATACTATAGCCACTTCATAGTGTGTGTTTGCTCCCACTCATTCCGCCTAAATACAATGGCTGCCAAGGATCTTTCTCAACTACCTCTTAAATTTTCAAATATTCTTAAAATCTGTATGCCACTGCCGAGCTTACAGAGCCCTGACCAAACATTTCATTTTGGCCACCTGTGTACTTCTTATTGTTCACCACCCCATCTCTCCCAACCAGGGCTTGTGTTTAATTGAACAGGCCCATGGATCCAGCCAGGCAGCGGGACCCATGACATCCAAATGGGTCTCATGTGACTATTTACCTGTTGCCTTCATACAGGTTGAGTTTCATCTCCACCTAGAGGCTTCCCCAACCAACTAAAGCCTTAGCCCTACATGTCACACTCCATGTCTGCTCACACAGACTCCTGGTATCCATGCTCAGATCCCACTCTATGAGAAAGGACCTTATTCTTTGATACCTCTGCTTTTGTGGGAATCATTTTATGCTTTAAAGCATTTTATCCCAACAGTAGAATTAAATACCCTAAGTTAAGAGAATTTTAAGCATGGACAAATAAGTGGGAAGAAATTGTGAGAAGGTGCTGCTCTTCAAAGAAGTCATCATTTGAGTGGAACCTCCAAAAAAGGCTGACGGCCACCAGAGGCTGGAAGAGGCAAGAACAGCTTCTCCCCTAGAGACAGCAGAGGCAGTGCAATTCTCCAACACCTTAATTTTGGGCTCCTGGGCCTCAAGAATGTGAGAGAATACATTTCTTTTGTTGATAAGTCATCAGTTTGTGGTAATTTATGGCTGTCCTTGGAAGTAACAAAACACTTAAGAGCTCAATCTATAGCAGCGGTTCTCAACCTGTGGATCTCGACCCCTTTGGGGGTGGAACAACCCTTTCACAGGGGTCACCTAAGACCATCGGAAAACACATATATAATTACATATTGTTTTTGTGATTAATCACTATGCTTTAATTATGTTCAATTTGTAACAATGAAATTGGGGGTCACGGCGTTAGAAAGGTTGAGAACCACTGATCTATAGTAATAGCTCAGTAGTAGTTAGACCATAGCAGTCATCCTCAACCTCATGCTACCAGGGGACAAAGCTGGCAGTGACACATCAGGCCCACCTTTTGAAGGGTGCCACTTCTGGAAGAGAAGATGGAGTAGCACAAGTGGTTATGAGAGAGCCCAGTCTGAATGTGAAGAGGAAACTCACCCAGGAGAAGGGAACTTTGGAGCAGAACGAATGAGGCCTGGTGATCAAGGTATCAAAAAAGCTGGCCTTCCTTCTATTCTGAGCAGTTGGGACCCTCTTAACAAGCTCACAAAGTCTAGGAGGACAGGAGAATAATCTTGTGCATGCTGAGTTTGAGACCCTTCATGACCTCCAAGTGGATCTGGTAGACAGCTGAATATTTTAGTTTGAAAAGTAGGAGGAACATCCCAGTTAGAGTAAATACTAGAAAGCCTGTGGACTTGAAGCCCTGTGGCAGGGATGGCCGCTCACAGAGCAAGTAAACCAAGAAGGGTATATCTGGAGGATGCCAACATTTCCCAACAAGAAGGGAAGAGAAGACAGTGAAAGAAACCTAGACAGGGTGCCTCCTCTTTGCCCTGCCATCATATAGAAACTGGGTATCTCACATATTTTTGTTCTTAATTATTTTCATTTTCTATCCTCAATTTAAAAAGAGATTGAGTGGGATGGAAAACATTTCATTCATTCTCATGGGACTACAATTCTAGAGAATTTGCAGTTGAACAATGCCCATTGCTCTGTAGCTATTGTGGAACCACAATTACCCAGTTAGAAGGCTGCAAAGGGGTGTAGCTGCCATAAGGGCCAGAATGGAACTGACTACACAGTAATTCATGCCACCAGCATCACAGCTAGAGTCGCTCTCCCTCCACTGATGCAAAAAGCTGAGTTAGTAAATTTGCCATATTTGCATGCAAAATTAGTTTTTAAAGCACTACTTCTGTTAAATACAAAATCACTTGGAAAGAAAAATTAGCAAAGGTTACAAGCAACAGCTGAAGGCCATAGTTCTCAGCCTCTGCTACAACCACCTGTGTGTGGAAGGGGGGAGGGGAAAGAAGAGGAGGGAGACTGTGGATCCCCTTGGGAGCTGTGTGGATCCCCTTGGGGGCTGTGTGGATACCCTTGGGGGCTGTGTGGATCCCCTTAGGGACTGTGTCCCGCATTCTGCACCTCCCCACTCTCTGTACTGTTTCTCAGGGAATAGGGATTCCTGCTGGGTCTGCTGTCTTCAGAGCTTCCCAACCTCTCTTCCTGCTTTGCCTTTGGGTTTTTTCCTCCTGGAAAAGCACTAGTTCCTCCTTTTCCCTGCCCTATCCCCCAGCCAAGCATTTCATGGGGATATGCTGAGCATTTTAGGAAGGGATTGGCAGAAAGAATGCTGATGGGTTGGATAGTGGCAAAGTCATGAACACCCACTCATTTTCCCTTCCCAGCCTCTCCTTAAATTGAGTCCCACCCATGAGGGAGAGCAGACACCCTTAAAGACCAAAGCAGTCTTTGCTCCCTATCTCCAGGAAAGATCCCTCCCGCCCCCGCCGGCTGGCAGGGTCCACAATCTTACCAGGCCGAATCTTGCGGCCACATTGAGAGGGGTAGGGGGCCTCCGGCCCAGGCTGTGCCATTCCTGTCTCAACAGGCACTCGTCAGGGCCGCCATTCCTGCCTCAACAGGGAGTCGTCAAGGCCCTCGTTCCAGCTGGATCGCTTGCTGCCGGCGCTTGGATGCTTTGTGACGCGTCGCCATGGAGACGCGGGTCAGTTCTGTGAGGCTGAAACCGAGGGAAGCAGTGCAGAGGCTGGGGAACCAGGTGTGGAAAGCAAGAAGATGTGCTTCCAGTAATATGGATATCTTGCTTTGATGTATTTATATAGCTTTCTTAAACACTGTCTTGTGTATGTGAGGAGAGGAACACAAGGGGAGTAGTTAGAAGAGAAAGAGACGTCAGATTTTCAATGGCAAAGTTTCATTTATTCATAACTTTCAGTTTAAGCAAAAGAGGGCAAAGTTGTCACAGATGTTTGCAATAAGTAGGAACCAAACAAGAAGACAAAGTCACAGGGAATCTCGTGTAGGAAGAACCAGAACCAGAGTTCCTGAGACAATTTCATGCTCCCAGGCGGATCATCCCGAACAGGAATTAGGAGGGGACAGGAGAGTGTAAAGTGTCCTTGGGAACAGGAGCCAGCAGGCGAGTTTGTGACCTTCCTCTCCATATGGTAGGTCCATTGTGTTTTGTAATTCTTCTGCCCCTGCAGCGGAAACTGTCTCACCCCATATGTGTTAGGCTCAGTTTTCCCAGAATGTGGAAGGTTTTTATCTTTATATTCTTTGCAACTAGCTGATAATTTGACACATAGTAGGTGCTTAGTAATATTGAATGCCTCCAGGTTAGGACACAGATATTTCCCCCTTGGATGCAAAGAGGAGACATTAGGTGAGACTGCTGGCAGCATGTTTAGAAAGTAATTTACACCAGCGGTCGCCAACCTTTCGGACCTCACAGACCACCAGCCACCAGTGGTCTACGGGCCACCAGTTGGCGTCCACTGATTTACACCATTCCTTATCCTTAAAGGGTTGTTCTAATATAGGACCTTAGGGCAGTGGTTCTCAACCTTGGCTGCACATTAGAATCACCTGAGAATCTTTTTAAAATCCTGATTTCTGGGCCTCATCCTCCGGAAATTCTGTTTCTTTGTTACTAATGTTGTGGCCTCACCCCATAACAAAGAAACAGAATTTCCGGAGGATGAGGCCCAGAAATCAGGATTTAAAAAAGATTCCCAGGTGATTCTAATGTGCAGCCAAGGTTGACAACCGCTGCCTTAGGGGAACAGTGAAGTGGAACAAAGGGAGTTGCCAAAGGACATAGAATAGGCATCAAAGTAAGGATTCCAAGTAGATATGCAGGGAATTTCTTTAAAATGAGGATCTAAACCAGCATGTTCTGAAAGTTGAGTCTTATCCATATAACGGAATAGAACATATGTTGGGCTCTCAAATTTTATAGCAATGAACAGTGGAACACATTAGAATGCATAGACTTCTGTCTATGTTATTAAAAGGAATGAATCTAAGTTAGGACTTAGTAGTGACATCTAAATTAAGAAAGTACCACCCAATAACTAGGTCTGGAATTGGAGAGCTAATTACCATAGCATAATTTAAGAGAAATGCATTTCTTAAAATAGAGCAGTGAGTATGTAGAATTTAAAAGTGAATTCTTATTAATATCTTACTTGTCTTATTTGTCTCCTCCTGGGTAAGCTGTAAAGTGGTGGGGTTCACACTGAATGGAGAGCTCCTTGTACTTCCTCCCTGGGGGCCCTTGGGGTAAAGCAGACTTCTCTGAGCACGTTTCTTTGTCTGTAAAGTGAGTTTACTAGCACCTACCTCACCAGGCTGTAAAATGAATAATACTTCTCACAATAATTTATAAATTTTAAAGCCACAAAAACCTAAGGTCTTACTCCTCTGTCTTACTGCTATTCTGATCTTCATTCTTTTTATCATTTATTTCTGCTTTAAAATGAATTTTGGGGACAGGTGTATTTTATTATAAGCACTATAGCACAGAGCAGGAGGCCTCCTGCCTCTGAATTTGTATTGCTTGAAGCAATGCCTTTCAATGATAGAGTAGGTGTTTTTTTTTCTTTTCATTTTTTTTCTTTCCATCCACAAACACCTACTATGCACTAGAACGAGCTGCATATGACATTAAGGGCAACACCCTGGGTATTATGGGAGCTTGGGGAGGTTGTTCTAGAAGAGGAAATGTCTTAGCTGAGTTCTCCCAGATGCTTGGGAGGTCGCCAGGGGAAGAGGGAGAGGTCACTGTTACGAAAAAGGGGACCTGGCCCTAGTGGGTCTGCCCAGGGCTGTCTTGTAGTGTGCAGGTTCTTGAATTCATATAGGAAAGATTTCACAACATGAATCAAGGTGAGTATTAAAGTGGGGACAGTGAAACAAGGGAGTGCTTAGCATAGAAGAAGCAACAGGAGAGCCCAGGCTGGGCTGCTTTAGCTCACCGTGAAGTCAGGGAAAAGGGGGACTTGGAGACAGGTTCAGGGTATAAGCCTGGGACAAGCTGCTGTTGCCCATTGCTCCCCTGGTTGTAAGTCTCATGAGGACCCTTAGAGTTTAGGAGATGCGTGCCTGTGGGGGAAGAGGGAGAGCACATGCTGGGTCCTTTGTCTTTAGGGTTCTCTCTCTCTTACAGGTGGGAACCTTAGGAGAGGTTTCAGGGGAGAGTTTTAGCAGAATTTTTATCCATTTTCCAGGTGTGGTCTTTCAAGGTTGTGGTCTTTACTGATTGGTCAGTGCCAGGGCAGGGGGGTCACTCATTAGATTTCAGCTAGTCCTGGGATTGACCAGGCACCTGGTTTTGCTGCTTTTCTGGGCCTGGAACTGAAATATAACTGAGGCCTAAATGTTACCTCTAGGGAAGTGACCTTCTGTATCTGGCTGTAAATTGCTCAACCAGCTTGTTCAGCTATCTGTCTCCATCTCCCTATTCCACTTACTGGCCTGGCTTACTGGCCTCTCTCAGTGCTACAAGGCTGTGCAGGGACCCAGAAGGCACGGAACAGCCCAAGTATGCCAGAGCCCCTGAGTGGCTTGGCATTGCCAGATTGTAAAGTGAGGAGAAAGCTGAAAGACGGCTGGAGCAGAAGGCCCTGCAGCTCTGCTGAGAAGCTTGGGACTTCCCTGAATGAGAGGAGAAGTTACTGCAGGGGGGTTGGCAAAGAAAGCAGGAGTCAGGTCAGAACTTTAAAATAAATCCTGGGCCTCTTTTTTCCACAAGCAAGAGAAGAGGGCTCAGAACATTCTTACAAGTGATGGCGCAGA